GGTGCACGCTCAATCACAAGATGCTGATTAGCAAATCTGTTAGCGTTTCTGAATCCTCTTTGGGTTCTCGACACTTTGATCTATACACCAACATAGGTGAATTTACATCTTTATTTGTGATAGACGTTTAATCCTCCTTGTTACTCCGTAAAAGTTACATGCTAGTTATAATATCGTAATTATACGTTTAAAATTATGAACACAGAAAGTTTCCAGATCCTGTCGGCAACAGACTAGAGATCTGATCAAATAATAGCATGCAAGGTATCTTTATAGCTATAACATAAATCGTTTAGCATATAAAAGCATTTTATGCATCTTTCCTAAAATAAGCTAGTGTTGGTGTCTAAAATATAGTAGACACTCATCTCACAATCATCACTTAGCATTCTAAGTTTAAATCTAGAAATCCTACAAATTCCTAGTTCGTTTAAACTAATTATCTGATACTAGCTGTGACATCCCCATTTTCACGACCAGAAAAGACATATTTGTTTATGCTTTACTTGAAAATCAGAGTATCCTTTTACAGAAATATGTTGCGGAATTTGTTCCCAAAAATATGATAAGTAAATTATCAAAACATTTCCGAATGTTTTCATTATATTAAAAATGTTGGGATGTCATTGTCAATATAGTACATAAGCATAAACAGAAATAGTACAAGCCTTACAACATCTATTATTTTAATGGCCTATAATCCATAGATCTTTCATCAAATCAACACTTATGTGCTCTTTTGCCACTACCTGTAATGCAAAAAACTGAGTGAGTCGAGCTTGGAAGTCTGGTGAGCATATAGGGTTTTCAAACCACAATAATTAAATTTATTAATTTCATCAAATCAAACAACCCGATAACTCATTCCTATTATCCTCACTTTTTGTCCCTAAAGCATCTAAAGTAAGGGACCTAGCGTAAGGATTTCCATCGGGATGACAACACTGCTTAGGGGATTCCTCAGCAATACATGTCAAATAAGGCAGCCATGAATCCGATGGAGTACATCTAGTGAACACTTAGTTCAAAAACACATACAGGTTGCGAGCCTGCCAGCATTCCACTAAACTATCTAGAATAGTCTGTGGTCGTCATCTATACTCCACCAAATGACTGGATCATCTTAAACACTGAGGCCTTTCATCATCTATATTATCTACCCATCTTTACCCATCATAATTATATGTATAAAATGCATATACATTTTAAATCAAATAAAACATGTATATTTTGTTCATCCAACAAAAATATCAAGTACACAAATAATATGCACACATAACACGTAATTTATGTATGTGTAAGATGAAAATAACTATGCACTTACTTGTTAAAGTGATCATTCCAAACTCGGACGATGCTTCGCTTCTAACAATTCTATTTTCCTTCGACGAAACCTAGTATTATTACTGCTACATTTTAGTCTAATATTTATTTCGACTATTTACGAGTGATATTATTTTGTAAGTGTTAAACAATACTTTTCAACCACTATGTACAAACATTGGCCAGACATGAAACGCCGGAGAGCAGGACCATTTTGGCATTATAGCACTTCTGAAATCCAACAACCCTATGCGGCCCTTCAAACCATATTTCACGTACCGTGGGTAGTTAAAAATATTATAATAACAGTTTGTATATTATAATTTATAAAACATATATTGTTTATAAGTTCATAATAATGATACTAAAATTAAACACAAGCTATACATAGAGTAGGATGAGCATAACTCACTTACTAGGAGGTTTAGCTAGGAACCAGGCTCTGCGGGGGCAGAACTTTCGAGCCGAAAGCTCTTCTTCTCCGAGCCTTCTGGCGCTCTGGGATTCTCCTCTTAGCACTTGGGAAGTACTAAAGCTTGGGAGGGGTTTAGATAGATTTTTGAGAAAGATATAATGGGATAGGTGTGAAGGAAATGGAAGATTTGCGCCTCTATTTATAGGTTGGTAAATGGCCCAACTCGGCAAGTTCTGAGCCTCCAATTCGTCGAGTTGAGTGCCAAGTGTAACCATCTAGTGGCAAGGCTTGGGGGGAAGCAATTGTCAAGATTGTGCCAAATGTCACTCGCAGATTTCTCCAAAAACTAATTATCTTCTAAAATCCGTAACTTTTGCATACAATTCTGTTTTTGACGTTATTTATATCTACGCTTAGGTGGCGTTGTACTCTACAACTTTCTTTTAGACTCCATCAGCTAGTTTTGACTTTATTTTTAAAGTTATATTTTTACAGACTTAGACAGGTAAAGCCCGTTAAAAATTCATAACTTTGTCATCCGACGTCCGTTTTCGTCTGTCTTTATGTCGTTAAGCTCCTATTAATGAGATCTTCAATTCTTATTCAAGTTGTGTCGGCTAAAAGTCGATCAATCCAATATTCGAATTATGGGGTGCATATTGATATGATAAATCTTAGAAAAATCATAACTTCCTCATACGAAGTCAAATTCGGATGTTCTTTTTATGCATGCTATCATTTTAACGTATACTACGACTTTCATTTAGATCGATATGGCTAAAAAGTATTTTAGCGCAGACTCACTTTTTACGATTCCCGGTGACGTGCCGGTTTTGCCGTAAAACTCAAAATGTCATAACTTCTTCGTTATAATTCGGATTCCAGCGTTCCTTATATCCCCGAAATCCTTGGTATGATTACTTCAACTTTCTTCATAGATATTGGGTTCATCTATTATTTTATTTTTGATGCCTATTTTTATTATTATTTTATTACATCATTATAAATAAGTGTAATGCACACAAAATCTCATAAATTTCTCTTTATTACTTCAAATTAGATTAAAATTGTTGACCCTAACTATTATATTGTTATAATAATGCTTAGCCAGAAACACGGGCGTTACAGTTTTACTATTATAGCAACATACATTCAAAACTATGAATTTGAACTATCAAAAAGGGGATTATTCTAAGCTTTCAAGTATAATCATATATACTTGTGATTGCTTTGTAGATCTTAAACTCTTGGTTGCTCTTGGAAGGTCTAGCACCCAAAGTAGGAATGTCTCTAATGGCTCACACCCAAAAGACTAAATTCCTAGAAAGTTTAGGAGATAGGAGAGAGGCTTATAAGATCTGAAAATCACATTTATGCATGAGGTATAATCGAATTTATGAAGGCCTATAAGGTATTATATACTTGTGGTAACTTGCAGATAAACACTGATTTTAATCAGTTAAATAATCAAATTCAATCATGATTCGAATCTTTACATTATCTATTACATAGATTGATTCTGGAAGCTCCTAAAGCTCCCTCAAAACTGTCCACCTCTATGGAGGATCCAAAATGTTCCTATTTCTCAACTATTGAACAATAATTATTTCAAAATTGATTCTAATTAATTCTAACTAGTAACTAATTAATTTATTAATTTGTAATAAATTAATAAACTATTTTCCTCACTCTCTTAAACCATTTTCTAGCTATTCTAGCTTATGAGGGCAACTAACAAAGGACTTTTTTATCATACATATAGTTATATCAATTAGTTATGACATTCAACACCTATTTCCAACAATCTCCTACTTGGACAATTCATAAACTACTACTGGAACGAAAAATCTTTGATTAACCAACAAAGCATGCCTTCCACTGCAACTGTCGAACTCTAATCTTATTAATAATCATTCATTAGATAAGTGATCAATTATTCATTTGTTTTTACAAGATATTGTGAAACCAGTTATGGGTAATGAATCAACGAAACAGTTCATCATTATATTTCTCGATTTCCTATTTATGATGATCAAATCAGACTCCTAATTGAGCACATCAATTTAGTCACAGCTTGGCCAAACACATGAATATCATCGTCAAATCACTGAGAGGCCCACAGTATCGCTTTTCCCGTTGAGGCGAAAACGAACAAATAACTTTGAATACACAGTTTTTGTCTACTCATCAAATCATGCAAAGACTTACCAATTATGACCACCAAGCATAGATAGCGTTTGAGTAAAAATAATACATAACTAAATCATATGCAAAGAACTCAGTGTCTCTCTATTTTAAGAATTAAATATTTTATTACCTCAGAATTACTCGTGATTGAATTCATAAAGTAATCACTTTGAATGCAGGTTTCGCCAATACTTAAATCTCTATTAACCACTCATGAACATTAGTCGCAATCCTCATGTTATGTCTAATCACTATAGACAATCTATTGACATTTTACGGCAACCTTAATTCAACACTCACTCTCAAGAGTATGAGCAATTATGGAGTTTGACTAAATTAACACTCGGGAATTGAAGCTCTAAACATGAAAAAAAAATAATAATAATAATAATAATAATAATAAGTTAACTGTAAATTGTATCATACTTGAATTTAAATAAATATCCTTTATATATTTTATTCATTGTTCTAAATATTCCAAAATAATTAACTAACTACTAAACTTTACATCGTCTCTCATGTCTATGCTCATAGCATGCATACTATGTCTTTCATTGGTCATCCCTTTTGTGAACGGATCAATTGGATTTTTATCTAATGATACTCTTTTCACAACTAGCTTTCCATCCTTAACTTTATCTCGAGTGTAATGGTATTTACTCATTATATGTCTTGACTTTAAGTGATCCCTAGTCTCTTAAGTCAAAGTGACTGCACATTCGTTATCTGCGAAGACGTAATGATATTTCATTAGGCTCAACAAGTTTCACAACCTTTGGTTAAGAGTTGGTGTTAACTATAGGTTCATTGTTGGTTGGCTCTTGAATCTCTTTAATGTCAAATTAACTCCGATTGACTTTTGGAGATATAAGTTATCTCTCAAGGAACACTCTTTTTCGAGCTACAAACACCATATTTTCATTGGGACTGTAAAACAAATATTTTAATGGTGGCTAGTTAAATTAATTCCTTAGAACACAATTACAGTGGTAAGAATTATTGAAATTAAAATTGACTTTTAGTACATGTTTAACACGAAGCGTATGAGAGTTTCTAAGTCCTTGTGTTTGACAAAATGATTTATTTTGAACAAAAAAACCTGGTTTGGTACTCTACACTTTTAGTATTTTATTTAAACAAAACGCTTCAAATTTAAAACTTATCTCACGTAGTGTAGCAAAACGATATCAAATACCTGCTACCTCTTAGTTTTGTTGAAGACTATTACCAATCATTTTTTATTGTAAAAAAAGTATTTAAATATGATATTTCCAATTTCACTAATTTTGTATTTATATTAAACAGTGTAATTTTTAGAATAGTTCTCCATTAGAATAAATCACCAACTTACTAAAAAAAATTATCAAACTTGTATATTTAACGATCACCCTCAAGTAATTTGATTCTTTTGAATTCTTCTTTAACTTATGCAACACCCAAATCCATGCAAGCGACTTTAGTACACATTCTCAGGCATATTCTAAATAGATCTTCATAAAAATTATCTTGAATTATACTATAGACTTCGAATTGGATAACTAAAAGCAAGATTTATCTTATAGTATAAAATTAACTTATTACGAATTAATATGTGCCGTAAATAAAAATAGGATTGTCACGTGATAACAAGCATTTTATATCGTCATATTTTCTTACATTTCAAACTACCATTGTAATATTTCTCATCGAGTCCCATGTACTACAGAGATGAACTAGGATAATAAAAAAATTACTCATATTTCAGTTATCATGATTTAACTTACCATGTTTTTATCATCTTTGATTTTCTTCAAACATTGATAGCGGTTGTAACAGGAAAACATGCTATTATTGAATATGGAGGTGAATCAATATCCGGATATTTTAGTGAAGACAACATTAAAGTCGGAGATATAGTTATCGAGGATCAGGTGGATATGACAACTTCTTCCTATACGAAATTTATAATTTAGACTTGTTTTAAATTTTAAACTAAACGAATATTCGTTCATTGCCAAAATAAAAATATATAGTTAAAATTTAGCAAAGTAAACATTGAAAATAATAATGTAATTAAAACTAACCATCAAACAATAGTCTCTTACACTTTATTATGTAAAATTGTAATGATTTTGAACTATATTATAACATATATTAACATTATGTCATTTAATGATCGTTGCTCGCAGTTAATGTGTGAATAAAACTACATAATAAAACTACATACAATTATCGTTATAATATTACCTTTAAAATTATGATTAACTAATTTATAAACGACTTAATTGATTTTTTTGTAAGGTAATGTGATTAATAAGTTTATGTTATTTTTAATTATTGTTATTATTTATGGTTATGATTTAAAAGTCAATTGTTTGAAGTAGTTCAAATAGTATTAAAAAATTAGTTTTGGATATTTTAGTTAATTTGACATGTTGATTTACTTTTATATTTCAAACATTTAATTATTTTAAACGATTTTATAAAAAGATAATCTATGAAGTAGTTCAAATAGTATTAAAAAATTAGTTTTGGATATTTTAGTTAATTTGACATGTTGATTTACTTTTATATTTCAAACATTTAATTATTTTAAACGATTTTATAAAAAGATAATCTATGAACACTTTTATGGTTATTTGATATTTTGATTAATATTTTCAACTTAACATTATATTTAAATTAATATTTTAAGTATTTATATTAATAATTTAGAAACTACCATTAATATGATAATATTTCACATTTCAAAAGACATGCATGTTTCAAATGCATGTGGTGTAAGTAAAATTATTTTTATAAGTACACTAGGTGAATCCTCACAAGTTGTGTACGAATATAATTATTTAATTAAATTAATAAAATATTTACATATTGAGATTTGTACTTATTCATGCAAAAATCAATGTAGTAGCAAAATAAAACATGTAGTTTACCTTTTAATTTTATTTACCGTAATAATTTTATATCATTTGTTATTTCTACTATTAATTGATGATTGTATAGATTATTTATATATATATATATATATATATATATAACAAAGTAGTATGAAAAAAAGATACTATAGCTTTTGATAATTTTATAGACCGTTTTAAGTTGTACAATTATATATATATATATATATATATATATATATATATATATATATATATATATATATATATAACATATGTTGATTTGTATATAAAACAAATAAGAAACAATATGGAAAATACTACAACTTTTAACAACATAAAAACATTACAACATTTAGTATAACATTTATATCAAACAAAACTTATTAAACACTTATAAATCATTCAAAATGAATATTTAGAAATCAATATACATTTGATATATACAAATATTGTTATAAAAAATCGTGTAGAAATAACCTTTAATGCGACAAAACTCATTTTTCAACTATTTTCATATTTGAATCACACATATTTTCAAACATATTTTGATGAAAACTTATTTATATGGTACATATAGCTATGGTACGTATAAATAAGTGAAAAATAAAAAAACATTTAACATTAACAATCATAACTTACAAAAGACCCATGAGTGTAGTGAAAAATAAAAAGGCATGACTAATTACATTAAATTTGGAATCAAAACTACATTTAAGATAGAAAACTATTTAGTTGGAACAGGAATTTCAAACTCCTAAGTTCTATGCAATAATATAATACAAATATTGATAATTATATGTTATAATAACAATATTATTGGAATTTATTATTAAAATAATGATTTTTACACCAAGTTATAATTAATTTTATAACTATTTGAAGTATACGATAAGACAGATATAATAAGTTGCATTTGAATTGAATTAAATAAAAAAATTTAATTTAATAATAATTATAGGTAATTGTAAATGATTTCGAAATAGTTTTATTATTATTATTATTATTATTATTATTATTATTATTATTATTTTAAATAACATTTTTTTAATATAATATAATCTACCTTGTAGTTTTACTTTATTTTAAATTAATATTCTTTTTACTTAATTAAACATTACTTGTTTGAAAAAAAAATTATTAGTACATTTTTAAAAAGTAATTGTACTTAAGTACTGTACTTTTGATTTTGTCCTTAAAACTATGATATATTAGAAGAGAATGGAGGGTTCAAGTAAAATAATGATTTGAAATTCAAAGTTATAATAATTATTAAGTATTAAGATCAATCACTTAAAAAAAACATGTTACGAGTGGGTTTGGAAATGGGAAATATTACATGTGAAGTATATTTTTATCACTTATATTTTCTTATAAAATATTAATATTTTTCTTTATTTTTACTTTAACTTTACGTTGATAAGAAACAAGATAAAGGAAATTGACTAATATAATAAGATATAATAAAGTATTTATTTTTATTATTATAAAAACATTTTAAAAATGGATAAATACATATAAATTTTACGAGAACTTATTGAAGTATTTTTATGCCACATAAATAATAATTGGTTTTCAACAATAAAATCATATCATATTTAAAATCATTCGTTCTAATTCGTCATTATCACTAACAATTTGGAATAATAATTGTAAACTCCTTTTATCAAAATCAATTATCAAAAGTTCCATCGATGGCGTTTACAACAAAATAAACTATAGAAACTAACATAGTTTATAACTAATAACATAAAGTACATGTTGAATAATGTACTCTTGGATATAAAAATAAATTGTCTTAACATAAAAGAGAAAAACGACATAAAGATACATATATTTAACAAAGTTAATTGCTCTAACTGATAAATAACTTAAAGATTGATTTACCAAAAGCTCATGAAAAATAATTATCAGTCTTACTCCATCATCTTGTGATTATAAAAAGATCCATAACATATAAATATTAAAAAAAATATATCTCAAGTATACCTTTACACACATACCTAAATTTCAAGCTAGGTTAATATATAAAACTTTACATGTACCAAATTTACATTTACTTCCATTTATATTTGGAAAAGTTGCAACTGTTCTTTTACATCTATGGAACTATTTACATAATTTTCAAACTCTACCAATATAATCTTTCATTTTATGTTGACATACATGCAATATGAAAGTACAATGTTTTTATATATGCTTAATATTTCATTTAACTCATCAATTAAATAGCATGATTTGAAGAGTTTTGGAAGTTACAAATCACAACATTTTAATTTATTATAACTAAAATTATATATGTTGAATAGTATTGGGAGTTTCAAATGAATGAGGTTTAAGGAAAAATGTTTGCTTTATATATATATATATATATATATATATATATATATATATATATATATATATATATAGATATAGATATAAATATAGATTATATATTATACAATATAGATATAGATATACAACTGACAATATTTCAAATTTATGTTCAAACTAGGAGTTCATTGAGGCAACTAGGGAGCCAGGGATTACATTTTTAGGGGGGAAGTTTGATGGTATCCTTGGGCTTGGATTCAAAGAGAACTCAATTGATAATTCTATCCCAGTATGGTAAGTTATATTCATAGTATATATATATATATATATATATATATATTTATATATATAATTATAATATATATATATATATATATATAGTCCGGATCGAATAAAAAATGAAATTTTTTTTGTAGGAAGATAAGAAGTTTTTTGATGTGAAGTTTTTTATGTGTATATTCTTTAACGAATCGTTAGATAATAAAAATAACATGATACACAAAAAATTCCGAAAAAATGCATTCATTAATCATTTTTTTAATAATTCAAGCAATAATTCACTATTTAGACAATTTAATTGAATAGTAACAATATCATCGTGGAAAGTAATTATCGAGATGTTTTTTTCAAGATTTCTTTTATTTGTGAATCTTGATATTTTTTATTAATCTCAGTTTTTTTTTTTGTTTCACAAAAAAATATGCAAATTATAAATTTCTTACATTTCTATCAAAAAATTATTTCTTATTGGATATATATATATATATATATATATATATATATATATATATATATATATATATATATATATAGAGTCAAGATCAAATAAGAAGGAAATTTTTGGTAGGAAGGTAAGAAGTTTTTTTTTCTAAATATTTTTTTTGCGAACAAACAAAATGAATCATTAGATGATTCATTTGTAAGATGATTCACAAGAAAAAATTCTCAAAAAAACATCTCGATGATTCATTTATACAATGATTTTGTTGTTATTCACTAAAATTATCATAAAAATGAATTTTTTCTTAATTTACTTAAAAATGAATCATAAAGATGTTTTTTTGAGAATTTTTTCTTGCGAATCATCTTACAAATGAATCATCTAGTGATTCATTTATTTTGTTCGTCAAAAAAATATGTAGAAAAAAAACTTCTTACCTTCCTACCAAAAAAAATTTCTTACCGGATCTATATATATATATATATATATATATATATATATATATATATATATATATATATATATATATATATATACACACGCCCACACACACTAAGTGTGAGACCTATGTACTATATAGGTTAATTAAAAAAAATTAATATGAATGTTTAAATACTAAACATTTTTTAAAGTAAATTTTTTATATAAATATAATCGGAATGATTAATAAGTAAGTAATTCAATCTATACTAATAAAAAAAATATTATTGACATATTTTAAATCGATGAAAAAACGCTAAGAGGTTTTTAAAAGGATATAGGATTAGATGTTAGTTTCATATTCCAAAGTCAAATGAATGTGTGTTAAGAGCTAAAAAATTGGAAACTATTAGGCTGGTTGGAGTGGGCTTGGCAACCCAATCAGCAACCTCGACGAACACCTGGTCGAGGACTCGGCATGCGAGCTCGGCTCGATAACCCGTTTGAAAATTACCGATGAGACAAATCATGGGGTTTGGGTATTATTTAGAGTTGGGATCACTTGGTATTCATAGGAAACAAGTTTCCAGGTTAAATCCGAAAAAAAAAAAAAAAAGCATTTGTCACTGTGTATGCATCTAAAGGAAGAAGAAAACAAGATTTACAACTTTGGCACATTCCGTCCCTTGATTTTCGTATAATGACAGATCCTTCCGTAAAGTTGAAATATCTCTTCAAGAATAACTTCAGGAAATTACACAATACCCCCATGAACTTATAAAACCTATTTGTATTAAATAAATCTACTTTATTATTATCTTTTATTATTATTATTATTATTATTATTAATTAATTAATTAATTAATTAATTAATTAAACCCTTTACATCTATATAATTCATTTTCTTTAGTTATTTCATTTGTCAAACCTACAAAACTTGGTTTTTGATCGTGACAAACTTGGCATTCGTATAACAAAAACAAATAATAGAGACCTTCTGAGTGAAAAAAAATAAGTTAATAATCGAACTCACAAATTACTCCAAACCATAGAGATCATTCGTGTAATTTACTCTTTTTTATATTAATTAATTTAAAAAAAATTAGCATGACAAGTATGGCAACCCACACCATGTAAATGGAAAAATTTTGAACGAGTGTGACAATGCCTAGGTGGCGCCTACATGCACTGTGACAAACTTGGTACCACTCCCATCAGTCTTAGTAATTATTTTTCTTAAGATTAGGATTTATAATAAGGAAAGAAAAATATATTCATTACAATTACTATCACATTTTTTATATTTAATATTATATATATATATATATATATATATATATATATATATATATATATATAGTCACACACACACACACACACACACATATATATATATATATATATATATATATATATAGTCACACACACACTAGATATGTGCCCACGGAAAACGGCAATGATAAATAGCTTTTTTTGTGAATAGTTTCTTGCAACGAAATAATTATAAAAGGTTATAATTAATTAATATGTAATAAAACAACTATCACTTTTAAATTAAATACTTATGTAATTAGACATTATATTTATATTGCATGTTTATATTATTGATGTAAATTAATTAATATCGTGTTTAGTTGAAGAAATGTAATTTAATTTATATACATTAATTTAATATTTTAAAATTGTCAGGTTGCTTCAAATTAAATTTTTTAATAACATTCTTTAATTCAAAGCTTTAAACTTTCCGTAAGTATTAGTGATTTATTTATGTATAATTGGTTTGTACAAAAAGTTTTGTAACTTATACCTTTTAAAATTGAAAATATGACTAATATGTTGTAATAT